AGACTTAGAGCGCACGCTTCTATCCCTGAACTTGCCTTCAAGCCGTGTAAATAATTTTGCGACGTTGTACACAAAATCTCCTCCTTTTCTTTACCGTATGTTGCCTAAATTTTCGCTCTACAACCTCGCATATTCCGCGGCAATTTATTTGCCCTTCATTTGTTAGGACAACATGGAGCTGTGCAAGGTAAACAGCTGTCACAACGGCGGCGTGTGCGTCTCGATGGCGCCCGATGGCAATGCGACATGCATGTGGGTTAAAGATGATAAAAATACCAGTATAAAATCGATAATAGCGATGTTATTCGAAATGATGCTTCCGTTTAGCGGAGGAGAGGTTAATTTTTTCCTTTCGTCCGGTACCAAACTGGTAGGAAAATGTAATGAATTTTTCTAGCAATTTTTGATATTTTTCATTGCCTAGAAATTACAAACAAACATCTAAAATTTCAATTTTTGGCTCATTTTTGTAAATTTTGAACCAAATAGACATATTTTCGAAAGTTTTATACTGTTTTAAATGCTTTGATCTAAAAAAAAGGGTCAAAATGTACAAAAAAACACCTTTTAGTTGCCCAAACGGCTTCGACGGTGACTTCTGCGAGGAAGGTTGTCTTTGTCAGTTTTCCTCTTTCGGTTACCTAACCCCATTAACTAACAAATAAGGCACGGATGGCGCGTGGTATCTCCGTTTACTCTATAATTTTTAGTGTACTCGCGGCCGGTGGGCCACATTGGCGGGCTGCTGATCGTTGTTTTGTTTGTGCTCGTCGCCGTGCTCGCCGTGATGTTGTATCGGGAACGGTTGGTCAAAGAATTGCATGTTTCTGGAGGGAGTTAGCAAATCTTGAACTGTTTTTAGACATAGTTAACGTGTTTGCAACCTAAAATTTATATAATTTTAGCTATAAATTGATGTAGTCTGTATTAACAACTAGTTTAACTTAACGTTCGTTAACAAACAAAGTTTACTGAACAAATTTTACCGCCATAGCCACGGGACGTTTACGAACGGCCTCGCTAAAGGCTACACAATATTCCTCTGCGCGCCGTGACTTCGTGCGCATCATGCTGATTTTCATTTTGGTTTAATTCAGAGTAGTTGTTGCTTTTTTCAAATATAACTTTGCTAATTTAAAAAAACTATGAAAATATAAAGTATATAGACTATGAGACTATAAAAACTATTTTCTTTTTTTCAGCAGAAAGACGCACACTCCAGTGGCCACCGCCGAGGCTCGTTAATCCACCACAAATTGTGGTCCACAATTACCTTACTTTTCATCTTGATTCGACTTTTTGATGTTTTTAATAAGTACTCTATACCACTCGCAACTATGCCCCAAAAGATAAAGATTTATCCATAAAGTGTGATTAACAGAGATGGCGGCAGTTGGTTGATATTTTTGCAGTACGACGCAGGCGTCATTTTGGTATTTAGCGGTAGGGATCTAGATTTAATTAATTTCGTAAAAAACACAATTGTCCTTACCGTAGTGAGTGTTGTGGGGGTGGTTGTCCTGGAAAACTGGGGGCACGTAGCTGGGGGTGCCGTAGGCTTGGTAGCCGCCGTGGCCAAACTCGTGCTGGTTGCCCCATTCTAGACGACGTTCTTTCGAAATGTAGGTTTTGGCTTGGGCTTGGGCTTGGCTTGGCTTAGGCTTCGTCTTGGCTTGGGCTTCAGATTAAGCTTAGGCTTAGGCTTGTCTTTACTTAGGTTTTAGGCTTAGGTTTAGGCTTAAGCTTAGGCCAGCCAGGAAGCTAGGCCGTAGGCGGCTTTGCTTAGGCTTTGCTTTTTTCTTAGGCTTTGCTTAGGCTTTGCTTAGGCTTTGCTTAGGCTTTGCTTAGGCTTGGCTTAGGCTTGGCTTAGGCTTGGCATAGGCTTGGCTTAGGCTTGGCTTAGGCTTGGCTTAGACTTGGGCTTCGGCTTAGGCTTAGGCTACGTACAACATTTACTACGTACGGTTCTGGAAGTGGAATCCTTGGAAGTGGACGTCCTTGATGTGAACGTCACCGTGGACGCCGAGCGCCTGGACGGTGGCGAACGGGTAGCGGTGGTTGAAGGTGGCGACGTGGTGGCCGTCAACCTCGATCTGAAGAAAATTGGTGTTTTATCTAATTTTTTAGGGGGTCTTAAACCATATTTTAGATACAATAAAAAAACTGACATCATAGTGCGTGGTCTGGACCTTGATCTTCAGGGTGAAGTGATGGTCGTGCTTGGGCACCGGGTTGTGCGTCTTCTCCTAAACCGGAAGGTTGGGAGATCAGGCTTGATGTGTACCTCATGGGCCCAGTTGCCGTGGGCCGACGAGTTGAGCACCAGCTCGTGGGGGTGGAAGCGGAAGGAAAGGTGGAGCACGACGTGCGGCCCGGAGAGCAGCTCGACGACGAACACCCTGAAGAGTTTTGTATCTCGGCTACTCTTTGAGCTACAGGGCTGTAAAGTATACCAAAATGTTTGTCGCGATTTGTAGAGTCAGAATACACCATATTTGAGTCAAGAAGATGGCGAAAAATAGAAAATTTTAGGTGAAAATGCCGAAAACAAGACTTTAGCCAAGGTATAATCAAAGGGAACGTTAAAGCTTCGGCATTGTATTAATTATATAAGCTATATAAAACTTAAAAATACTAAAAACTGACTCGTGATGCTTGTGGTGGCCGTGGACCTCGATGACGGAGCCCGGGATTGGGGGCTCGTTCATCGGAAGCGTGAACGGGACATGCTAAAATCTCAAATTTTTTTTTTAAAGAAGCCGACACTTTAATAAAAAAAATCGACTTTTTTAAACGGTTTAAAGTATATTCCGTCTATTACGGATATACCTGATTACGCATAGCAGCTAAGCCAAAACGCAAGTCGCCGACGTAAATAGGCGCACCACGTTGGATAGCAGGATAACGACTGACCGTCCCTTTTTAAGGGCCCACCCCCTCAAAAAAATCCATAAACCTACGGGCTCGTGAACGGAGTGCATCTTCTGTAGCTGGGCGGACGTCTGCAAGAAGTCTGTTTCCCCCCGGGATCGTTGGCCTTAAAAGTAGAAAAAAGTGGGCGGTATTCACGCTATCTAGCCGAGGCTGAACCGATAAGCCCGATGCCCTGACTCAAATGGGGGCCTGTTTGTGTATGTATGTGTGTGCGTGTGTGTGTGGGCAGGCCACAAGTTTCGATAAGAATTCAGCGCCATCCCCGACAAACATCTCGAAAAAAGAGGAGAATGACGGAAATGGGGGGCAACGACTCCAAGGACGACGGGAAGGGGGGCAGGATTCAAATGAGTCAGGGCTATAGGTGAGGGGGACAGTAGTAGGCAATTGTTGGTTCAGATGGCTCGGTGAGTAAAGTGGCAGCGATCAGCACCGGACGGCCAATTTGACAATAATGTTATACGTTTCAATGGTGCGTCATCAAACTTGCTCAATGATCTCTGCTGGCTTGCCTGAGTTTTTATTGTCACTGTATTCCCAACGGTCTTGGCGATTTAGCTTTCCCCAATAGTCTCTGCTAGTTCTCTTCAATGGTCTCTGCTAGCCCTCCCCAATGGTCTCTGCTAGCCCTCCTCAATGGTCTCTGCTAGCTCTCCTCAATGGTCTCTGCTAGCTCTCGTCAATGATCTCTGCTAGCTCTCCTCAATGGTCTCTGCTAGCCCTCCTCAATGGTTTCTGCTAGCCCTCCTCAATGGTCTCTGCTAGCCCTCCTCAATGGTCTCTGCTAGCCCTCCTCAATGGTCTCTGCTAGCTCTCCTCAATGGTCTCTGCTAGCTCTCCTCAATGGTCTCTGCTAGCTCTCCTCAATGGTCTCTGCTAGCTCTCCTCAATGGTCTCTGCTAGCTCTCCTCAATGGTCTCTGCTAGCTCTCCTCAATGGTCTCTGCTAGCTCTCCTCAATGGTCTCTGCTAGCTCTCCTCAATGGTCTCTGCTAGCTCTCCTCAATGGTCTCTGCTAGCTCTCCTCAATGGTCTCTGCTAGCTCTCCTCAATGGTCTCTGCTAGCTCTCCTCAATGGTCTCTGCTAGCTCTCCTCAATGGTCTCTGCTAGCTCTCCTCAATGGTCTCTGCTAGCTCTCCTCAATGGTCTCTGCTAGCCCTCCCCAATGGACTCTGCTAGCCCTCCCCAATGGTCTCTGCTAGCCCTCCCCAATGGTCTCTGCTAGCCCTCCTCAATGGTCTCTGCTAGCCCTCCTCAATGGTCTCTGTTAGCCCCCCCAATGGTCTCTCATCTCCAATGTCCATTTCAAAATTTACACGACTTTTCTTCGCAAACTCTTTATTCAATCCCGTATTCCGAAAAGGCAAGAGTGGAGGTGTAGCCAAAGGCATGTAAAATACACCCAAAAATACAAAAGAGGACACTACCAATGTAGTGCCAAAAATACCGACAAAACATACACAGAGGATAGGGAAAATTAAAAAACACAATTGCCTGTTTACTACCTGATTTCGAGTTGAGAACTATGCCTTGTAAAAATGGGGCTGAAGATCAATGAGGTTTACACGAATAGGGGGGTGGTAATAAATTCTGATAAGACGGCCGGAGAGGTTATTAGGCGTCCCCCGTACCGTCGCTCCCGAATTCCATCTCGAACATGACGGTGAGGAGGCGGATCTGAAATCGGGGGATAAGAGTGTATAGATATTTTACATATTTTTAAATAAGTATTGTTTTAAGGCGTTTTGGTGCTTGTTCGTTAGCGGGGGGAGCAGAATTTTAAGTTGGGGACTACGACCCTTTATTTTAATTTATAACAAAACATGGGCTTTGTCGGAACTGTTCCGACCATTCAGAAATGGAATACGTAGGAGCAGCGGGGCTATTTCGAAAAGCCCACAGGGTTTCGAAATAGGCACTGGGCGGAGCCCGCAGGGGCGACTATAAAAAGCCTGCCGGCCCCCACTAGCTCACTCTGAACAAACTCACACCGATCGTGCTCACCCCGCTGTGTCAGCCCAGACTAGGCTGAGACGATAGCGCGATCTGTGAAGATTCAGAAGAATAACAATTTATCACAGATTTCCATTACTGGATAGTTCCCCACTCCGGTAAATAGAGTGCATTGCAGTAATTGTATCCTATACTTCTCTGGCAATAAAGATATACCCCAGTGACGCCCAGAAATCAACAAAGAACACCGACTGTAAGCTACGTGGGCATCACATTTTGGTGCGTCGGCTATTCTAACCCGGGCTACATTCTACCACCTCAAATTTCCAACTGGTGCAAGCCCCCTTTCCTAAAAAACCCCAAAAAAAAAATTTGTTTAAAAATCCACTGAACGTAAATCCCCCCTTACTTATCAAGAAACCTATCTATTTCCAATTTTGAACGCCATAATTCCGAGTCGAGCGACTCACTATATTCCGAACCACCCGCCCGCTGAAGACCACGCTACGTCAGTCGCACAGCAGCAGTGTCAAGTAAGTCAGTTTCATTATTGCAGTTCATTTACCGTATAGCCCTAAATTTCGCATTTCAGTCCAATTTCTGCTCCCTATCAAAACCTTATCATATTAAATAGTTAAAATCCACTAAAAATTTTAGTAGACGTATTACTTATTGCCATCCTTCTTATTTTATTAACCTTCCTTATCCTATTACTCTGTGCCCAACCGTATTCCCGTGATTTTGAGCAACAAGTTCGGTCACCCTTTGATCCATACACCCATTTCGGCCCCCATTTTTATCGCAACCGTAACCCTCGCCCTCTACGAGCAGTCCTCGGGACCAGAATGGCGGGCAACGGTCAGCCTCTCCGTCCATCTCGGGCGTTGGAAAGTCGAGAATATTCCCGTAGGGTACGAGCCGTAGCCGACACGAGCCAGGAAATTACGGAACACATCCAATTCGATATGAATGTACGTATTCCTCAAGTGGCGGTATTAAATGAAGCCGAGCGGGCTGCCGCCGCGGCTCGACTACCTGATCTTTATACCCAAAAGCGGACCCTTGAAGGTGCAGTGCAACAACTAGACGACCAGATTGCACGAATTATGGAATTAGAAGAGGATCCAGAACATGAGCATTTTCGTGGTATCCTCGCAAATCTAGAAACCGATGAGAATACCCGTATTCTCAACGACGCAAGACGATACATTAGGTGGCTTACAACAGCCTATCAGGGCCTTGAAGGACAAATTCATACATATGACAAATATCTAAGGCCCCCTCCCGTCGCCCAGCAGCGGGAGGCCGTTCCGAGAGAAGAGGTACAGCCTGCAATCGCTCTAGCGATCCCTAACGCTCCGCGCCTCCCCGAAATCCAACTCCCTGAATTCAATGGGGATCCGATAGAATATAATGCATGGATTACAACCTTTCGACGAATTATCGGGGACAATCCTCAATTAAATGCATTAGATAAATTTAGTTATCTTAAAACTAGCTGTCGCGAGCGAGCCCAAAATATTGTGGGCCACCTAAGGCTCACGCCGGAAAATTATGAAATAGCGCTGACACTTTTGGAACGGCGTTACGCAAACCCGGAATTACTGATTAGGACCCTGTTCAACAGGCTTGAAAGCATACCCTCCACTAGGACCACGGCAGAAGCCGGACCTACCTATGATAGAGTGCGCGCTATCATTGAAGAACTACGACAAAACAACGTAGAAATTGATCCACTGACTAGAGAACGCGTGATTAAAAAATTCCCAATAACGATTCAAAAGAAATTGTATAACGCCGAACACGGCCATCAAAATTGGAACCTTGAAGAATTCTTAGAAGCGCTTCATAGCGCAATCGAAAAAGCGGAGCATTTAATGAATGTTACCGATCCCCGGCACGATGCCGAAGAGGTCAGCTTAGCTATTAACAGAGCCTATGAGAAGTCCCGATACAGAAACGCAACACAAAGATCTTCATCCCCGTTTTCGAGCCGGTATAACCAGGAGTCGCGACCGTACGGCGGCGTACCGGCCTCAGATCGGTTCCCCAGGAATAAGAGTCTGGAAAGGAAAAAATTCTGTGTTTACTGTAAAAATACAGATCATATTAGCCTATACTGCTCGAAAGTCGCAGATAATGAGGAACGGCGAAAACTCTTACGGAAGGAAGATCGCTGTTTTGTTTGCACACGTACTAACCCACATGACTGCCGCAAAAGGCCATGTAGATGCGGATCGACTTACCACCATCCGTCGATTTGCCCACTCGACCCAAAAATTGGCTCTAAAATTAAGCGAGGCCGTTCCCCAGGCAAGAGACCTAATTCAGGAAGCTCCACTCGCGAGCAAACTCCGGGACGAAATTTAAAAGGCCATGATTATGATACTGAGAACGATGAAACTTCAGATGAACACGTTACCGAGCCAGAGTCTGCTGAAGATTGGTCATCCGGCACCGACTCTGAGTCTAATGAGGAAAACATAACTTCTGAAACCTTTAGTACCACCGCGATTAACCTGAGCTCTCCCATGGACATTGGTGGCAAACAGGGCGATGAAATTTGGCAAAGCGAAAATTGCCTTAATGTCTTTTCTCTTTCCCTATCGGTTCTAGAATCCACAGAAACCATAGATTTAAATGAAACAAGTCCACTCCTCACAAAAGTTAAGGCGCCTAAAAACAAAGAGAAAAAAGAGAGAAACGATTTTAAACCCACTAATAAAAACCGGACAGTTCCTATACTAGCTGCTCTTGGGCAGCCGCCCCTTGCAAAGGTAGACTATCCCCGCCGGAACAGGCATGCTAGAACGCCACCTTATCCGTTTCCACCTAGAAGAAAAATTAACTTCAGGATGGGGTCCGCACCGATTTTCCTAGCGTTATGTATTTTGGCCTTAGGATTGGCTCCCGCCTCCGCGGACGCCACGCAGATTGGCGCTACGCTAGGCATCCGCAGTCTAGTACCAATTCTCGTAGCCCTCACAATCAGGCTCCCACCTGGTGCGGCGCGACTACGGTACCGAGCAGCTTCCAGTCAAGCAGCTCCGAGTTTTCGGCAAAGGCCTGGCCGAAAGTTTGGCCATAATATGGGCAATACTGGCATATATATGGGTGAAGCGAATAGCAAAATACGCCAACTCTCTAACAGAGTTGCCAGATCTAATCGACGCCAGATCATGGCTCCATTGGAAGATGGGCTAGACATCTCTAGCTGCATAAATTGGACACCGCATAACAGTATCCAAATGGCACTGGAGACGCCCAGTGGGGCCCGCGCGACCGTAGAAATTGATACCAATGACCCGGATCTAAACAACAGGTCGAATATCCAGATTTCGACTCCAGGGACCGTCCCCTGCCATACGCCTCTACGGACCAGAGATTATTTACGACGAAAATATAGAGCGTATTCACTTTTTAAAGCAAAGGTCAAAGAGTTGGCTTTGAAGTTCCCTGCGAAAGAATTCGGAAATTGGACCATGTGCATTTTTGGTGTTGATACGCAATCCACCGGGCTATTAAAGCGAGTTAAACAATTCCAATTCTAGAAATTCCCCTGAACCAAACAGCCTGTCCCTTGTCACTTCCCCTGGACGCCGCTCCCTCCATTGCTTCTAATCCCACAAATCAGAACTTTGCCTGTGATCATACAATCCTACCTCCTGAATTTTCCATATTACAATGTGATAATACATCCGAGCTTGTGATTTTCTCCCCGCCCCCGGAGTGTCGGAACTGTTCCGACCATTCAGAAATGGAATACGTAGGAGCAGCGGGGCTATTTCGAAAAGCCCACAGGGTTTCGAAATAGGCACTGGGCGGAGCCCGCAGGGGCGACTATAAAAAGCCTGCCGGCCCCCACTAGCTCACTCTGAACAAACTCACACCGATCGTGCTCACCCCGCTGTGTCAGCCCAGACTAGGCTGAGACGATAGCGCGATCTGTGAAGATTCAGAAGAATAACAATTTATCACAGATTTCCATTACTGGATAGTTCCCCACTCCGGTAAATAGAGTGCATTGCAGTAATTGTATCCTATACTTCTCTGGCAATAAAGATATACCCCAGTGACGCCCAGAAATCAACAAAGAACACCGACTGTAAGCTACGTGGGCATCACAGGCTTTATTTTCTTTTTTGTAGCAGTTGTGCTTACGTACCACAAAGCTAAAAACATTCTAAAAAACTTGAAAAGCTTGATATTGTTAAACAAAAAGTCAAAATTATTCCAAACGGTTGAAAATTTGCATGTTTTTATGTTTTGTTATTTGAAAATTCGAATTTTTATGTCTAAAAAGGCTTAAGAAGCTTTTAAAACTTGTTATTTTAGTATTTGGCTTCTACCGGAAGACGCACGGGAAAATTTCTCCATCCCCCCGCAAGTGTATAAGTACCAAAAAAGCCCACCTTCGTCTTCTCGCGCAACTTTGGCGGCATCGTCGCCAGCTTCATCGCCACCATGTGCCCGAACATTTCAGCCTGAAACGATATAAACATTGATTTTCTAAATATTTCTTTTACCCCCTCGTCCTGCAGTCGATTCCAGGTGGGCGGGGCCAGGGCGGAGGATGAGCAGGAGGAGTTGTGCTCGGTTTTGACGTACGGTTGCATCGTGCCGGCTGCAAAAAGTCATATTAAACTGAGCTTGAACGTGTTTTGGAGCGTTTCCGAGTCCGTGCTCATACAATTTAGGATATCTTAGATAGCTTTAGCGAATATTACTCTCTAAAAATGCTAAAATATCCATTTTTTGAAGTTTTTCAAATAGTTTTTAAACAAAAATATAGCTAAATTATGCTTAAAACGCTTACAATTAAGATACTAGAAAATTCCGACTTATAGGAAAAAAATTCCACCCTCGCCCCCCGATATTGCGAAAGAACCGTTAGATCAAGCCTCACCGGAAGAGCCCATCGACACCGGGGTGGACTGGCCGGCGGTGGTTGCCGATGGGGATGAGGCGGTGTTGATGGATAGGGGGGAAGGGACCGAGGTATCGGGTCGTTCCTCCTTCTCCTCGTACTTGACGCGCTTCCGCGCCGGGCCGTCCGCCTTCACCGTCGCCTCTTCGGCCATCGCCGTCGTGCTGGCGATGATGTCTGAAAAGGGAAATACAGATAGTTCTCTCCTCTTATCTTAATATATGAATATTGTATAATTTGCCTTAAATAATTATGTATAATTTTTTATCATTTTAAACTCACCTAATAATGTGGGTTGCGGTGATCCCTCTTCGTCCGACTGTTGACAATCAACGCTTCGCTCCTCCGGATCGTGAGGGCTGAAAAAACGAATTTATGAAAAAGGTGGAGCAAGCCAACCAAGCCAAGCCAACTAAGCCAAGCCAAGCCAGCCAAGTCAAGTCAAGTCAACCAAGCCAACCAATCCAAGTCAACCAAGCCAAGCCAACCAAGCCAAGCCAATCAATCAAAGCCAAGCCAAGCCAAGCCAGCCAAGCCAGCCAAGCCAATCAAGCCAACCAAGCCAACCAAGCCAAGCCAGCCAAGCCAAGCCAGCCAAGCCAGCCAAGCCAGCCAAGCCAGCCAAGCCAGCCAAGCCAGCCAAGCCAGCCAAGCCAGCCAAGCCAGCCAAGCCAGCCAAGTCGACCAAGCCAAACCAACCAAGCCAACCAAGCCAAGTCAACCAAGCCAGCCAGGCCAAGCCAGCCAAGCCAGCCAAGCCAGAGCCACGCAATCGACTTACTATCGCGCACGCAGATAGGGCGAGATGAAGTGGAGGTGCTGGAAAAAGGTCCACGCCGTCAGCTTGCCCGCCTTCCAGCGCTTCTCCTCCTTCTTGTAGCGGTCACGCATCGTCTTCCAGCGCGTCTTCACGAAGTCGGCTGAAATTTGGGAAAATTGTTACCGAAGTCGCCTAGCTTTAAAAAAAGTAAAATTGAGCTTGCACTCATATGGCTTAGGCTTAGGCTTAAACGAAGGCTTAGGCTTGAGCTTAAGCTTAGCCTAAACATCAAAGCAGACTCACGGGATGTGCTGAAGCGCTGCCCAATTTCAGCCCACATTGCCGCGCGCATCGTGTTGTTATTATAGGTGTCGTCGTTCATGTCGTAGAGGCAGGGGCGTTTCTTGACCTCTTGGATGAGTTGGTAGTTGAAGTCGTGGCATTCCTGCTCCGTCTTCACGTCGGCCACCATCCCCTTCGCGGCCGTCGCCAGGAAGTGGGCGTTTAACTGGAAAATCTGAATTTAAAATTTGTTAATGGGTTCAAGGTTTGAAAAGTAGCGGAGCGAGGTTGTGTTTACCTGGTTCAGGGTCTCGTTGTCGACTTCGGTGGCCTCGACGGTGGCCCCGCTTTCCTCCATAATGGCTGGGAGCTAAAGAATTGGATGGATTAGGAAAAGTATTGGTATTAAGCCACGGAAAATGAGAGAGAGAGAACGGGAGAGGGAAATAGAGTGAGAGATATTTAGCGAGAGAGGTCGAGCGCGGGAGCATAGAGCGAGAGAAAGAGAGAGCGAGAGAAAGAGAGAGAGAGAGAGAGAGAGAGAGAGAGCGAGAGATAGAGCGAGACAGAGAGCGAGAGATGGGGAGAGAGTGAGGGTGATAGAATGAGGGAGCGAGAGCGTGAGACGGGAGATAGAGAGCGAGAGAGAGAGAGAGAGAGGGAGCAAGAGCGAGAGATCGGGAGAGAGAACGTGAAAGAGAAAGGGAGAAACCGGAATTGTTTGCATAAAATGAGTTTCTTAAATAGAAATGAAACGCTTTTTAGAAAATTACGGATCCAGCGAAAAAATTAGATTTCGAATTTATAAATACAAAAGTACCCCCGAAACTCGCTCGTATTCGTTCGCACGCGTAAAAGTGATAGGGCTTGGGCGATTCCACCCGATTTTTGAACAACTTTCACCCCAGCCAACCGAGAAAATAGAAGGATTAAGTGAAGCGTGGCCGAAATGTGGCGAGGCGGTGGTGGGCAGCGGATGGGCGGAAGGGGAGGGGGAGAGCGAGATATAGGAAAGAGAGGCGAAGAGCAGAGTTCGATCCGGGTGAGGACGCGGCCGCTTCCCCCCAAAAGACCCCCCTCACCAAACCGCTTCTCCAGCCTCGGCGAATCGAAGCGAGCCTGAGCCGGGCAAGGCACCAGTGAAATAAATTTATATAGATAATTTTTAGAGTAGTTTTCTAAGGTCAGAAAGATAAACTCAAAAACGGTAAAAAAATTAGGTTTTTCGATTATAAAACTTTTTCCGTAATAAAAATCATGAATAAAGTAATAAATAATAATGGCTAGAAGCCCTAAAAAATTAAAGCATTAAGTTGGATCCGCGTAATGTAATGGTTAGTTACTTACGCGAATACTAAAAATTACAGAAAATAAAATTTTTTTGGTTCTTTTGCATGATCGGGGGGGGGGTGCATAAATCCGCAGTGTTTTATTAATATTTTTAGTAAAAAACATATTTCGACCAGAAACACCATCCAAAAACAGCAAAAATGTTCCAAAAGGCGCAATTTTGGTAAAAATGCCCATTTTTTGGTCGTAAAATCGAAATTTTTGGGTTTTTTAATAAAATTTGTAATGTTTTACGTTTACGTATAGTAAAAATAAGAATTTAGCTATTTATATTCGAAAAAAATGGGTATAAAGCATGCCCTCCCCGATAATGCCAAAGAACCGATTTTTCTGCGAAAAACGGAAAATCGATTTTCAAAAATTACACTTTTTTAGAAATTTTCCGGACTTTTTAGATAGTTTTTCCACTTAAATAGACCTAAATTTTAGAAAAAAAACATCAGGTAGATACTTGCTTGATTAGTAGGAAAAAGTGGAAGTTTAGGAAAAATTCGGTCCTGCCGAGACACCTGAAAAACCTCATTTGAACCCGAAAATCCTAAAAATTCCGCGAGGCTGAATCCCACCAAAAAAGGGGTAGACACACCAGGTTATTAATAACCAGAATCCGATCCCGGCTAGGTCCCAATTATGCGCATCCGGCATTCCCCAAAAAAAATCGCCAAACGGGCTTTGGTCTCCGCGCCGGGTGGGCAGCGCGGAGCCCGAGCCGCAAAAATCGTTGCGTGCTGTCGGTCTGTCGGCCAGTGATGTTGTGCGTGTGTCCGCAGCGCGGAAACGAGCCCCGGCGCGGCGGGGAGGACGAGCAGGGCGCGCGTGCTCCCCCGCCTCGACCAGTTCCGCCGGGCTCCCATCCCTAGCCCACGCAAAAAAAAGAAAATAGATAGAAAAACCCGATGTCAGCGTTTCTTTGCGCGGGCCGGCTTTTTTTGCGATCGGCTGCCGGGTATAAAAACAGTAAAAAGAAAAAGCTGGGTGGTTGGGAATGACCGCTGTGGGGTGGAGGAAGGTGTTTTGAGTGAACGTTGGTCCATGAAAAAGTTGCGGTGGAAAGTTCGTCGAATTTCTTGAAAATAAAAACCGGAAGCCAATTTCCCAGAAAAAAAATCGATAGAGAAGAACAAAAAAACCGCTCTAGAATTTCTAGAAAAAAAAAAGGTTGAAGAAAAAAAAGAGAGAGAGAGAGAGAGGGAGAGAGAGAGAGAGATAGAGAGAGAAGCTAGTAAATAGCCGAGTTTTTACCTAAACCCCCCGAAACTACATCATAAAAACTCAATTCTGGAGCGCTGAATCGCCGCAAAAATACGACTCTGCCAAATCGTGAAGGCGAACAACAACGGAAAGTACATAAAAAATGGGAGAGTGCGTTTTGCTGGCTTATAGTAAAGCAGGAAACACTATACGCTTATCAAAAACGGGGTATCATGTCTGTTTTATCAAGTTGGATGCATTAATGGTATCTGACACTAAAGGTCAGGGTGTGCATCCGGTGTTTTCATGCCGTAATCGGTTGCCTGTGCGACGTTGAAATTCAGGTGACTAACAAATTTTTTAACGATTTCTTGAAAAGAAATTCTTTGTTAAAAATGAGGAAAAATGAGGAGGAGGAGTAAACTTTAAAGCTCTAAAAATCACATAAATTGCAATTTAATTAGAATTAGATAGTTGGAAAATCAGTTAAGGAGCTATAAATAATTTTAAAAACCCAGAAACCCTAAATTTAGCGATAGTTTGGAGAGGAAATTCAACTAAGAATTTCTGATGAAATTGGAATAGGATGAGAAAATGAGGATGAGGAGGAGGACTGTTGGGATGGTTTCGGTTGGACGTGGATTTTTTGAGCGGGTGGGTGAGCGGCGGGGCGGTGGCGGGGTTGGGCACTTGGTGTGGGGGGTTAGGGGGCGCGGAAATACAGCAATGAAGGCGGAGGGGGCAGACGGACGCGCCTGCCCGGGGTCACACACACGCACACACAGACCGACATACATACAAACACACGCGGCGGGCCCTCGGGGACGGGGGCGCGGAAACGCAAACAGATCGGGGCGAGAGAGTGGGCAGATGGAGAGGCACAGACGCGAGAGGCGGGAAAGCAGCGGCGGGGGCTCGACCTCTACTGAGGTACTGCTGCAGAGTCAAACACACCGGGTTGTGTGTGTCTGTCTGTGTGCTTGTCCGTCTGTTTGCCCGTGGATTCGCCGGGCAGACGATGAACGCGCGGGGTCCGATGCTGCCAGCCGGGGCGAGGAGGTTCTTTCAAAAGATTCCGTGGGACCGAAGGGATGGGTCCGGGGATGGTCTACTTTTCCGGGGGTAGTGAGAACGGTTTTAAAGGGACCGGCAAGGGAGGGAAATGTGTTTTGCTGAGCAGGCAATTGACCGTAACCAGTTACGCAATGCAAAAGTTGCGTATCGAACCACGGTGTATTAGGCTTGGCTTAGGCTTGGCTTAGGCTTGGCTTAGGCTTGGCTTAGGCTTGGCTTAGGCTTGGCTTAGGCTTGGCTTAGGCTTGGCTTAGGCTGGGCTTAGGCTTGGCTTAGGCTTGGCTTAGGCTTGGCTTAGGCTTGGCTTAGGCTTAGGCTTAGGCCTAGGCTTAGGCTTGGCTTCGGCTTGGCTTAGGCTTGGCTTAGGCTTGGCTTAGGCTTGGCTTAGGCTGGGCTTAGGCTTGGCTTAGGCTTGGCTTAGGCTTGGCTTAGGCTTGGCTTAGGCTTAGGCTTAGGCCTAGGCTTAGGCTTGGCTTCGGCCTGCTTAGGCTTGGCTTAGGCTAGCTTAGGCCTGGCTTAGGCTGGGCTTAGGCTTGGCTTAGGCTTGGCTTAGGCTTGGCTTAGGCTTGGCTTAGGCTTGGCTTAGGCTTGGCTTAGGCTTAGGCTTAGGCTTCGGCTTAGGCTTAGGCTTAGGCTTAGGCTTAGGCTTAGGGCTTAGGGGCTTAGGCTTAGGCTTAGGCTTAGGCTTAGGGCTTAGGGGCTTAGGCTTCAGGCCAGGGCCCAGGCCAGGCTTAGGGCTTAGGGGCTTAGGCTTAGGCTTAGGCTTAGGCTTAGGCTTAGGCTTAGGCTTAGGCTTAGGGCTTAGGGGCTTAGGCTTAGGCTTAGGGCTTACAAGGGAAGGGCGAATGCGCGATCTCGAAATTCGAAAAACGCTCGCGGCTACCCCCAGGTTATCGACTACGGGGAACACGATGGTGTTGGCAGAATTTTCCACCGAGCGCTGTAGAGCGAGATACGGTACTTCCGGAAAAAGGATCATTTGCATGCAAGAAATTAGAATGATCCCTGAGGTTTATTAGGAGCTTCCAAGTATCTACCACTGTCGGTGAGTTAGTCGAGTGCTAACGCTCTCGCTTTTTGAAATACCAACAAGAGTTCGGATCCACCCGTAAATATTTGTTTTTGCTTTTTTGGGGGCAATTTGCAAGATGCGATTACCGGTCGCCAGCTTTCAGTGTGCATATTTTGTTTTTTTTTGCTTCGGAGCTCGGAGCGGGCAAACAAAATTATTTGATGCGTTGGGAAATTACTGTCAATACCAGGCAAAAATAGCGCTCCAATAAGCAAAAAAAATTACGAGTGGAAGCGAACCCTCGTTGGTATTTCAAAAAGCGAGAGCGTTAGCACTCGACTAACTCACCGACAGTGGTAGATACTTGGAAGCTCCCAATAAACCTCAGGGATCATTCTACAGGGTGGTCCATAAGTATTGTCGCGCTTTTTGGCCGGCTGTATCTAACCGGGGCCGTGTGCGATTGGCTAGTTGAGCGTATGCCTTATGCAGTTTTTTATCCTCTATCCGATGGTATGATAGGTTGCACGATCGTATTGAGATTTGGAGCTTATAGCACATAGTTTCTAGTTAACCTCCAAATTTCAGCTTAAAAATGGCTTTTGAGAGGCTCCGCTGGCGACAAAACAATTATGTATTCACTAAATTTGCCTTTACAATTAAAAGAACCAGTAAAACTCTGCTAGCAGAACCTCCAAACAAAAATTTTCGCACCTCCGTTTTTGAGCAAGCGCTATTCAAATTTTCGGGGAACCCGGTGCGCCGCCCTCGGCCTACCCCGTATGTAAAACTGAGACCGTGGCTGTTAGAAAGCTGAGATAACTGTGACAATTTTTTTGGGGATAATTAAGGCTTCGTTTCAGCTATTCGCAAATTTTAGGCGCAGAATTCGACATGCAGTTCAAGAAAATCGAGAATTTTGTCTAATGGCATGCGCCACCCAAATTTAGTTCAAATCAAAGTCTGAAAAGTGACCGGAGCCTAGCCCAATATGCCATTGGAAAGAAGACGTCAGATAGCATAGTAATAGCATATAGAATTGCCCCCGGGTAGCCCTAGGAAGAAATAAAACTTCGAAAACTAAAAAATGACGGAATGCCCTGAATTTGCGGATTTTCGTCCGAACATTGCGGAGGACATAGCTCCTTCAAGCGACAAGCTGGTTAAATTTCCATTTGGGAAGATGCAGAACAATGCGAAAGCTACCATAAACACGCTCGAAAAAAATCCTGACTCTCAATCGCCGGATTTAGAGCCCTTCTTCCCTAAATTCTGGCGCGGCGCACCCCAACCTTTTGTCGCCCACTTTAAGCAAATTATCTCACTTGGAAACCATTATTCCAAAAAACTTTCTAAAGCAAAGTGGTTTCTAAGGCTTGTTTGAAGCTAACCTAATTGGCTAAATGGCTCAAATCGCTCAGTGTGAAAAGATATGACGCCATGAAAAACGACAATACTTATGGACCACCCTGTAATTTCTTGCATGCAAATGATCCTTTTTCCGGAAGTACCGTATCTCGCTCTACAGGGCTCGGTGGAAAATTCTGCCAACACCATCGTGTTCCCCGTAGTCGATAACCTGGGGGTAGCCGCGAGCGTTTTTCGAATTTCGAGATCGCGCATTCGCCCTTCCCTTGTTAGGCTTAGGCTTAGGCTTAGGCTTAGGCTTAGGCTTGGCTTAGGCTTGGCTTAGGCTTGGCTTAGGCTTGGCTTAGGCTTGGCTTAGGCTTGGCTTAGGCGTCAGCTTAGGCACTGGCTTGGCGGCAGCTTAGGCTTGGCTTAGGCTTGGCTTAGGCCTGGCTTAGGGCTTGGCTTAGGCTTGGCTTAGGCTTGGCTTAGGCTTGGCTTAGGCTTGGCTTAGGCTTGGCTTAGGCTTGGCTTAGGCTTGGCTTAGGCTTGGCTTAGGCTTGGCTTAGGCCTTAGCTTTAGGCTTAGCTAGGCTTGGCTTAGGCTTGGCTTAGGCTTGGCTTAGGCTTGGCTTAGGCTTGGCTTAGGCTTGGCTTAGGCTTGGCTTAGGCTTGGCTTAGGCTTGGCTTAGGCTTGGCTTAGGATTTTGGGCTTAGGCTTTGGCTTAGGCTTTGGCTTAGGCTTGGGCTTAAGCTTCGCTTAGGCTTTGCTCTGCCAACCCGCGCTGGTGCAAAGATCATTCTCCGACCCTCCGCGAGCCCATCCCCCGCCCATTGGCCGTTTCCGCTCGGTGCCAGCCGTCCGGGGTGGTACGCGGCCAGCGCGGAGCCGCAGCACAACCACCAAAAGCACAAAGAGGGGCACGTGCACACACACGTCCCCCCAAGCGGCCCCCGCGTCAAAAAGACCGATCGCCCCGGGTTTTGTAAACAGCTTGGGGTCAACGTGAAATGTGGAATGGAAATTCGTGTTGGCAGGCCATGAAAAATTTGAATTCTGTCTAAACTTGGGCTTCTGAAGCGGTCTCTGCTAGCTCACCTCAATGGTCTTTGCTAGCTGTCCTCAATGGTCTTTGCTAGCCCTCCTCAATGGTCTTTGCTAGCCCTCCTCAATGGTCTCTGCTAGCCCTCCTGAATGGTCTCTGCCAGCCCTCCTCAATGGTCTCTGCCAGCCCTCCTCAATGGTACCTGCTAGCTGTCCTCAATGGTCTGGCTTTTTTCTTTTCCTGTGTTTTCAGGTCATAATTCTGCATTTTTTTATTTCTCGCACAAAAACCGTAGGTCTTCTTGAAAAAATTGCGCATACAAGAGCGAGATGTGGGTGACGGCTTCATCCCAATGAGGGTCCCAATTTGGTGGCGAGTCGTACCTTGAAAAGCCTTTATTTCTGAAAAACAGAAAAAATGCGGACACGCGGAATGAGTACAATCAAAATACCGACACTCATGAGACCGACAGGAAAAATCCGAGAAGCCAAAATGCCGAGGCGAAAACGCTTAGAATTTCAATTTTCAGGGCCCATGATAGACTTTTTTGAATGTCGATATTTTTGCTGTCGGCATTTCGGTCCTCGGCTTTTTTATTGTCGGCATTTTAACGAATTGCGGCTCGAACTGTGTAAAAACGAACCGAAACGCCTCGTCGGGCAGTTGACCATAGATATTTCGGTGTATTAACAGAATGTAGGCCCATTGTTCTTTCGCTTCTTTTACTGAAAAAAAAATAGAAAACTGATTTAATTATTTACGATTTAAATAGTTAAATTGTTTAATAATTTATTTTTCACATGAATCATTGAATAAAAATAATTTTCGAAAGATTCATAATGTAAAAAGTATTCATTTACGCATCGAGCCATTGACCGGAAAATGTATAGTATTTTTCTTAAATTATTAAATTGCTGTAAAAAAGTGGATTTTATTTCTGATCAATAATCTCTTTGCATAGAGTTAAAAAGAACTTCAAAAGCTAAGCTTACTTGATATTCGCAAATTTTCTGCTACTGCTTTCCACGCTTCGGCTTTTGCTAAATTTACATCCTTCGAGTTGTGGCCGTTGATTTTACTGCTTCTAAAGTAACAAACAATATTATGCAGCTTAAATTTACATTAATATATTTAGTTCGGACTCGATATACTTACTTTAACCACAATATTGGTAAATTCCGCATCAGCCCTATCAACGCGTCGGTTTGGCGCGGTTGAAAATGGTTCATTCCCGGGACGTAATCAGGTGCACCGCGTACACTACAGTATTCTGCGAGTTCATATATAATATTGGGATAAAGAAAAAAAAAGAAAAAGAAAAAGAAATAAAGAAAAAAAATCAATAAAAAATCGAGTACATTTATTAAAGGAAAAGCGTGCCAAAGCGTGTAAATAGGCATAAAATGTATTAATGATACAAAAGATCATCCTACTATATATAAAAAAATAGTGTTTGTGTGTGTGTGTGTATATTTGCATGCACTTCCGTTAGGATGTTCCGCTCCTACAGCCTCGGGGAAGGGTTTTTTAGATAGGGAAGAAGCGACAATGGGTTTAGAATGGTCCGGAATCGACTGCACACACATAAAAATTTTGAAAAATTGTGGTTTTCGCTATTAAAAATAGGTTTTTGTAAAACCCGCTTTGTTAGGGGCAATTAGCATACGCCGGAAGTGGAAATAGCCTATATATCGGCGAAGAGAGGGCGTTTTCATTTTTTCCATACCGGAGTTGGGGAGAAGCATGCAAATCAAAAATTTTCACAGGACCCAGTTGCAGAGCGTTGAAAAGACGCGGAGGATTTTCAAAAATTGCCATTTTCGCTGTTAAAATCAGGTTTTTTTGTGAAATTTCTAACCCCCCCCCCGCCACTTTGTGGGCTATTTGCATATTGCGCATGGGTATTGGCCGGTTTTTCTCCATGCCGTTACTGCGATGGGTGCGTTTGAAAATCTTCGCGAGAGTTAATCCGGTCCGGGGTGATCTGCCAGGTGGCTAACTGTAACCGTTTTTTGTTGACCGTGGGATTTCGATACGTCAGATAGCACATTTTGTGCAGAATTTTTTGCTGATTCCGAATCCGTTTTCAAAAGTTGCGGAACCCCTCTAGATAAAAAGTTACAGCCGGTTTTCTACCCCAAATGAGCGAAAATTACAAACTTTAAATCCTTATAAAAAACTCGTGGAACATTTTGTGGGATAAAATACAGCGCTCCTAAGGGTAAAAAAACGTGTTCTTTCGAATGGGCTACCTCACGAACCCGTAGCTCAAAATTCATGAAAAAAAGTTTTTCGGTGGACCAATGCCCTGGATGGCTAATTTTTGAAATTTTGTCAATTTTGAGCTACGGGTTCGTGAGGTAGCCCATTCGAAAGAACACGTTTTTTACCCCTAGGAGCGCTGTATTTTATCCCACAAAATGTTCCACGAGTTTTTTATAAGGATTTAAAGTTTGTAATTTTCGCTCATTTGGGGTAGAAAACCGGCTGTAACTTTTTATCTAGAGGGGTTCCGCAACTTTTGAAAACGGATTCGGAATCAGCGAAAAATTCTGCACAAAATGTGCTATCTCACGTATCGAAATCCCACGGTCAACAAAAAACGGTTACAGTAAGAAACTTTTTGGTGCTTGCCTGTTAACGGGGATGGGAGGATAAATTTTTCTCCAGCACGATACGGACCATAGGAACATGCCTACGGATATTGTCACACTTTACGTGATTTCTTTCCGAACATAGCACAACGAACATTTGCATTCGGAAGTCGACCGTGATAAACATCTGTATGACGGTATAAAATGAACGAGGGCGATACATCCTACTAGACCTCTCGAACCCTCCCCCCTAAACCCCCCTAACTAGGGGGGGTTGGGAGGGGGGTTGTAGGGGGGTTCTTATGGGGGTTCGCCCGGTGAAATGATATACATATATGAATTTCTTTTCAATTTTTTGGCCTTTTAATCAATTAAAATAAGTAAAAACTATCAGACAATAGTTTACAACCCCAGGAGAATATATTTTCAGCTATTTTGGCCCTCAATTCGTGTTTCCCGAGTGTTTTTTAGCAATTCTAACCGGTTCCCACCGGTTTTTTTGTCGGTAATGTGGTTAGCAAGCACCAATGATTGTCCTACAATCTTTACAGTACAAATTTATAATGTTTCGATAAGTTTTTACAGTTTTTTTCACCAAAATTGTCCTAAAAATTGAGTTTCATGGGCAGTTGACCGCTCGGAGGGGGTTTTTAGGGGGTTGGGAGGGGGTTTAGGGGGGTTGGGAGGGGGGCTTAGGGGGTTCGGAGGGGGTTTAGGGGGTTCGGAGGGGGTTGGAAGGGGGTTCGGAGGGGGGTTTAGGGGGGGGAGGGGTTCGGGAGGTCTACATCCTACTATATATAAAAAAATAGTGTGTGTGTTTGTGTGTGGACACTTTGCATAAATGGCTGGAAAAAACCGGGTTACCAAGATATCGGGCAGGGGGAAGAATTTTGGGACCGGACGAGACGAGAGGTATTTAGGGGTGGTCGAGGGCATAGATTATAGCAAGCTTATCAGATCCTACTATTCCTACTATATATAAAAAAATAGTTCCTGTGTGTATGTGTGTGTGCATTTGCATGCAACTTCCGTCAGGTTGTTCCAGTAGTATCTCAATAAGGGGGGCAGTTATAGGTATGTTTTATACCTCATTAGGTGCGTGATGGCCTAGGTATGACTGCACACTCATAAAATTTTCAAAAAATGGGTGTTTTCGATGTTAAAATTGAGTTTTTTGTTGAAAAATTGAGAACCCTCTTTGTTAGGAAACAATTAGCATGCGCCGGAAGATGTGGTAGCCTATATAACAGAAGAGAGGCCGCGTTTCTCATTTTTTTATCATCAAAAACCGCGTGAATTATGCCAAGGGCAGAATATCATGGGATCAGACGGGGCCAGGGTTGAAAAGTCGCGAAGCGGCTTTTCAACCCTGGTTGGGTAAAAAAAGTCGTGTTCTTTGAATAATTTTACCGTTTCGATTTTGATAGATTAACAACCATTAAAGGGAATATCATTCGAAAAAAAGGCTAAAAACCTAGCCTGGAGACGTTTAGGGCCCTCTCCACCCTCCTGGCACGCACATTTTGTCGCGGGCCCAGCCGGGCCAGCGAAAAGTGGTTGCCGGGGGAAATTTAATGTGAAGAGCCAGCCGGGACGGGACTCGAAACGCTGCCTTTTGATTCGAGCTTTATACCCTTGTCTTAGTAGCATACGAAAGAGACGGGTAATTTTAGGCTTAGGCTTAGGCATGGCTTAGGCTTAGGCTTAGCTTAAGTTTAGGCGTAGGCTAAGGCCTGGTTAGGCTTAAGCTTGGGCTTTAGTTAGGCGTAGGCTTAGGTTTAAGCTTCGGCATGGCGTAGACTTAGGAGGCTTAGGTTTAGGCTTAGACTTCGCTTAGGCTTTACGTTAGGTTAGCTTAGCTTAGGCTTATGCTTCGGCCTAGGGAATAGGCTTAGGCTTAGGCGTAGGCTCAGATCTAGGCTAGGTTTCGCTAGACGTTAGGTTTTGCCTAAGCGCTTGGCCAAAACCGCAAATGGCGTCTCGTGGATTTTCGACGCCGAATTTTCACGGATTATTTTGGCAAGGCGGACACGCGTGATTCATAAATGGCAAGAGAAAACAAGCGCCCCGGAGAGCCGATAGATTGAGATTAGATCGGAAATTGTTCTTCGAGGATTTTTTCGGAATTTAGGGCCCGAAATTGGTAAATTGGCTTATCCGAGATCAGCTGCAACGCTCTCCGGGGAATGCTTCAAATTTTATCAGCGAGATTTTTTTATTGAGAGCTCGAAATTTTGGGGGAGGGGAGGCGTGATTGCGGGCGGGCACGATTAGTCATTTTTGGGTTTTCAGCTTTTTAGCCGAAACTAAAGATTTTCTGGTGGTTTTCGAAGCTCTCCGGGCCGTTGGCAAAAGGAAAAAAAAATAGCGAAAATCCCGTAAATAGCTTGGCAGCCACATTTTCAAAAATTGTTATTAATTTTTCCGAAAATTACGTTCGATTTTGTTAATTTCAGTTGTAATTAAAACTAGGTGTATATTTTTTAAAATTCTATCCACTGGCGTTAGAAATTCGGGCAAAAACAGGCAAATCCAGGGACACTAGAGATCATCTAAAAAGCCAAAAACATAAGAGAAATCGTGAATTTTGCAAAAAAACTAACTAGTGAAGTACTGTCATTTAAATAATCATTAAAATTGCGTCTATTTATGGAAAATTAGAAATATACAAAATTTACTAACGCAAAAACGTTTGATTCGATCAAAAATCCGCCCCTAGCTTGACTCCCTCCCATCGATGCGTCAGGGATTAGTTTGGCGCGCGCCCCGGCGCAGGAGTAAACGTATGGCCTTTTTGAGGAGAAGAAGAAGAAGAAGCATCGGGAAGAAGTGGAAAAGCCCTCGAAGTGGACCCCCGCCTCTTCACCCCGTACCCAAGATGGCTTGATATAGACAAACGGCCACGGAGAGGGGGTAAGGTTCATGAATATCTGAGGACACTCTGAATGGATCGGCTTCTTGGACCTACCATTAATGCCGCGTTTAGAGGGTCAGGAAATATATGCGCGAAAAATCATTTTTGACCTGTTTCGAGCTCTCCTTTCCACAACCTGGCTTTTCGCGGTTGCGCTTTCTAAACAAATGCTTCTAGAAAAATCAGTTTCTTTCTTCGCGTTAGAAATTATTCCGGATGCAATCGACCCTATAGATTCTGGATCCGCTATCGAAGTACGCCGAAAACAGCCTTTAAAGGCCCGTTGAAGGCTAACTGCCCGATTTCCGGAAATGGTATCCAGACACCCCAAAAAAATCCGGAAAATACACATGCCGGCTAATTTGACATCGGAGATTACGAATATCACAATGGCGCACCTCGAAAACCCCCACACAACAAGTTAGCTTTTGACCGTATTTTGGGGGGTGAAAAGTAAATAGCTATTTTCACCCTAAAAATCAAATTTTCGGGCTTTCAAGGTATTAAATTCGGCATCAAAATGTAATTTTACATTTGGTAAATGTCAATTAAATATTTTCCAGCCAGGGATTTTCAGGAAATCGGCCCAGAAATTTGAAAAATGGGGGGTGATTTACAGTTGTCCGTTACTGTATGTACTCGAGATTTTAGGGAAAATCTTTAAGAGTAACATCAGATCGAAAATTTGAAGAATTCCGTAAAATTCCTAAAAAAAACCAAGCCAAATCCGGGACGTGGCGTGAATGTTGGTAGTGTGGGATTCAGCAAGGCTGCGGAAGGCTGTGGGCCTTCGCGTTCCCTTGTTTGCCATTCATGTCGCGACTCGGGTTTCCGCCGTTCCCCCCTTATTTTTTTGCTGGTGTGTGTGTGTTTGGTTGAAAAGGGGAGGGGTGGTCGTGAAGAATAGAAGGGATGGGCAGTGACGGAGAAGACGGAATTCTGAAGAAACGGGACGCTGAAATTAGGGATTCTTGGAGCTAAAAAGTCGTCGCAAATTTAACCGAAATCCCGACAGAGAACATTTAGACAGCCAGAATACCGACATCTAGAACCCCGACGAAAGAATCCCGACAGCCAGAATCCTATTAGCAAAAATGCCGACATACAAAATCCCGATTGTGAAAATACCGACAGCAACAATCTCGACAATCATAATCGCGATAGCGCAAATTCTGGCAGCCAAAATCCAAGAGTAAAAATACCGACACCGATAATCCCGACAGCTAAAATCTCGAGCGCCATAATACCGACAGCAAAAATACCGACAGCCAAAATGGCGACAACCAAAATACCGAAAGCCGAAATCCCGACAGACCACATCCAGGCATAATCCCCACTACCATAATGCCGAAAGTCAAAATCCCGACAGCCACAATACCTATTTTGAAAATACTGACTTCACGACAGTTTGAATGACCTTCCTTTTAAGCATATATTTTGCATGTCGGCATTTTGGCTTGTGGGGATTTCGACTGTCGGGATTCGAGCATTTTTCGCTTGAGCCTTGCTCTGATCTTCAAAAAACAAAAGTGCCACTATTTTTGCTTTCACTGTTGGCGTAGCTAGGGTGGTGCTCCTCCCCTTTTGCCTCCTCTCACAGTCCGACGGTCCGTATCCAGTCTCACTTTCCGTCCACCCTCTCTCTCTCTCTCTCTCTCTCTCTCTCTCTCTCTCTCTTTCTCGCTTCGGAGCGTCATCGAAAATTGAGGAACCATCATAGCCCTGCGGACCTCTCACTTGGCTAGCCATAACGGCATCCCAACACTTTTCGCTAGACTCTAGACTATATTTTGCAGCATTGGCAGATCGACATCGTCAAAGGGCGAAGTATGGGCCGGATATTAAGGGCGTCATTACCTATATTATTCCTCGTACTCCTTCATTTTCTCGAGGCTCGCCAGATTTTCGCTAACTCGCAACGATGGAACAAAACGCCAGGTGGGAGGACTAAAATTGAAACTTCTGGAAAAATTCCTATATTATCTTTGCTAGGCTCTCCCGATGAGGGCTAAAGGAAAAGTTCTCTGCTTTCCTGCCTCAAAAAGCACCATGGTCAAAGGATTTCTGCTAGCTTCCCGGGGGAAAGGATGGTCCAAAGGGGTCTCCGCTAGCTTGCCCTGGAAAAAAAAGCAAAAATGAAAGTGCCTAGGCCACTTGAGATTCGAAGATTCCACCCTACTAAAAATGACCGGAAAAGCTCTCTGCAAAAATGACTCCCGAAATACCCAAAAGGCCCATGCTCGCTAGCCCAAGTCTCGGCAAAGAATCCCTGCTAGCTTGCCCTCTCTCTATCTTTCTCTCTCTCTCTCTCGGCCCGCTATTAAACCTAGACGCAAAGCATTACTGCTAGTTTGCCCTCCTCCAAAAAAAAGTTTCTAAAATCACATGAGTGAATTTTTCGTACCAAATCTTCCTTCAAAAGAAATTTTATTTGATTCCTTAAAAACCTCTGCTAGATTTCCTGGAATGCTTGGACTTTTTGGGATTCGGGACAGTTCACTGCTTCCATTGCCCTGAATGTACCCTGAACCCTGAAAAAGGATCTTAGGATTCTTTTGGCTACGGATTCCGGATGGATTTTGCATGCCTGATGCGCAACGCACACGCAGCGCAATTGAACTTTATAGATTTTATGGTTTCGCCTGTCTTAACTTTGGCAAATGTTCTTTGCCAGCTCACCTTAATGCTTTCTGCTAGCTCTCCTCAACGTTCCCTGCCGACTTTCCACAACGATCTCTGCCAGCTTTCCTGAATAGCTCTCGCTAGCTCTCCTCAACGGTTTTGTGCCAACTATCCTCAACGATCTCTGCTAGCTTCCCTAAATGCTCTCCGCTAGCTCACATGAAGACTCTTTGCGTTTCTCTAGGGATTTCTCTGGGGACTCCTGTCTTGCAAACCCCTTAAAGCCTGATTTTCTAAATCTCGCTCCACTCCGATAAGCCGGGTCGATTCAAGGTCGAACACAGGTGTCAGTCCGTCACCCCCTCAGGCGCCTCAATATGTGCCGGGGAGTGTTGTGGAATGGCAAAAAAGCGGGTTTCCGTTTCTCGCCCCGGGGGCCGGTGGCTGACATTCGAAGGGGTGGTGTATTCGAAGGGTATGCCATTGTCGACAACGAGTCGATCCACCTAACACCTCTATCTCTCCCTCTCTCTCTCCCTCTCTCTCTCTCGCTCTCTCTCTCTCTCTCCCCGATCAACGGCAACTGGTCAGCTATTCTACCCCCCTGTTCGCGGACCTGTTTCCCCCTGCAGTTGCCAGCCCGAATTTTTTGGGTACCCCCGAAAAAGTACTAGACTCCGGGCTAGGCTTCCGGATACGCATTTTGAGGGCGTAAATCGTTCAAAGGGACCTGGAAGCCAGATAGAAAATCGAGGAGAACGTGGTGGACGGTAAAAAGCCGAAGCGCTTAGAGAAATATGTTCAGGCGAGCTAGCAGAGAAGATTGAGGAGATCTAGCAGAGAGAGGAGAGCTAGCGAGACCATTGAGGAGAGCTAGCAGACACCATTGAGGAGGGCTAGCAGAGGCTTTGAATTCTCCATGTCCCTTTTATCCTGATCGCTCTGTTTTCCGGGGCCTTTCATCTTCTAAGATTCTGCAAGTTTCTGGGCTTAGACGTCGGCTGGATGGAAATGGAAAGCGGTAGTAGAAGATCAGGGCGAGAGAGAGAGAGGGAATGAGAGATAGAGAGAGAGAGAGAAAGACAGGGGCTGTAAGAGAGCCATCATCATCGTTGCCCCCTTCTCCATCCTTCCGGTTCGCTGACCATCTCTGTTCAGCCCCACAACTCGTTCCGCCCTTAGAACCCCGGCCTGAACTCACCAACATACGACACCTGCAATTTGCATGCCGGGTTGGGCAAAGTAAGGTTGGGGGAGGAAACAAAGGAATTTCAGGAAAAAAATTGGAGGATTTTTTGATTTCGATGAAGGCTTTCAGAGCTGAAAAATAGCAGAGTGCTTTTTCATAAAATGGGCAAGCTAGCAGAGATTCTTTGTGAAAATTAGGGCCCGGCAAGCTAGCCGAGGTAATTTGCGGAAAACTCGTTGATTGCTTCCAAGTATATTTCAGAAAAAATGTGGCCTTTTTTAGGCAATCCCGGCGTGCGGATACGACTGACCAAGAAGGGGATCAACCACTTGAAAACCGTGGCCGTCAAGCTGTTCAACGAGCAGATCAGGAATATTAGGGTACGGCCTATTTTTACCCTGTCATTAATCTATAGTTTATAGCAGTATTTTACAATTTTTATAGTTTCAAAATAGCAAAAATATTTTTAGGAGTTTTTGCATAATTTTCCGACCAAAAAACTGCAGTTAAACTTTTCTAAAAGTACTATTAAAACCATTGCTAATACGTTATTACGCTTTTCTTGAGTTATGGGAAAATTCGTTTCCTCTCCCCCCCGCTAATGCAAAAGCACCAATGAACTATTATCATATTCCAGGGCTACTCATCCCAGTATCCCTTCAACCACGCCGGCATCAACGGCTTCGTGAACCTGCAAAACGTCCGAATTCTGCACTATCGACCGCCACAAGTACGCTGCGATACCGCTTCCAGTGTTCAGTGTCCTTTGTAGTTCTCCGTCGTCAACTTTATGCCGCCGCGGTACGCCGTGTTCGGCCTCGAGAATATGGATATGCAGTAAGGAATTTTTAGTCTTTGTTTATTATGCATCATTTATTATGATATTTTATTACGTAAAAATAAAATAGTTATGTATTCATCGTAGAAATTAAGTATTAATGCTATAAATAATAATTTCTATTAGATTAGCCGGATCGTTTGACGGAACCGCGCCGCCATTCCAGGTAGAATTTTGGTTTAAAGGGACGAGAGAGAGAAAGAGAGCGAGAGAGAGAGAGAAAGCGAGATGGCGCGAGAGAGTGAGAGAAAGGGAGAGAGAAAGAGGAAGAGAGAGAGCGAAAGAGAGAGTAAACGCGAGAGATGAAATGAGTTTTGTGGCTCTTCAACAATTTTGATCAGTTTCACGGTTTCAATAGTTTTTCTAGGTTTCCGGTTCTGTCGACGGCTTCATCCAGGGGATGACCGTGGCTCTGACATCAGAATTTTCCAGGAATGAAGCTGGTAAGTGAGGTTTTAATGCAATTTTTTCTGCAAATTTTCTTATAACCGAAGCTTACCCTAAAGAGCGCCGAAGAATAAGCCTATTTCCCACGCTTAAGGCATGGTAACTGTCCGGGTCTCCAACTGCTCCACGATCATCCAACAATCCCATTTCAACATCTACCCCACCGGCCCGACCGGCGGCCTGATCAAGGCGTTCGAGGTAGTGCAACGGAATCGTGGCTAAATGCCCCGATTTTTAGGCCCAAATCAACGAGGGTATCGGCAGGAGGATCCCGAATATGTTCTGCAGAAAGCTGAAGAACCTGATCGAGACAAATTCGCCGAAGATCTTTGCGAGGTTAGGAAATTGCCATTTTACCCTGTTGCCGCGCCTTTAAAGTAGCTAGACGTCCTTTTTCAGACTAAGCAAAACCAATTTGCATGAGAGCTTCAAGACGCCGATCACGGAGAGCGGGCTGCTGCAAGAGTAAGTGCGGCCAAGAGCTCAAAAATCGAAAGCTCAGATTCATCCAAAACTTTGTCTCCGGCCTCTACATTGACAATCGGAACATTGCCGATCCGATCGTGACGTTTGAGTACTTTGAGATGCAGATGAAGGGTGAGAAAAGAAATTTTTAAGCAATATTAATTTCTAGGCGAGGTCCGGTATGAGGACAGTGAGTATTCGACGCCGTTCTTCCCAAGGTAAGTGAAATACCGTAAATCTCTCTCTCTCTCTCTCTCTCTCTCTCTCTCTCTCTCTCTTTCTTCACGCTCTCTCACTCTATGTGTATCTCTCGTGCTTGTTCCCCCTCTCTCTCTCACACTCTCTCTCTCTCTAGTTCACTCTCTACCCCTTTATCTCTCGCTTCTCCAGACCGATGCTGACCCCCGAATCTACCGATAGAATGCTGTACTTCTACGGCTCGGATTATCTCTTTAACTCCCTCCTCTACCATGCCTACCAAAAGAATAAGCTCAATATGGAGGTAACGCACAAATTCGGTTTTTAAACGCGATTTAAGTTAAACTCCGACAATCTTCCCGAACGCTACAAGGGATTCCTATCGACGGCATGTGCGAAGCGGAAAGCCCGTGATGTCGTCAGCCAGTATTGTATCGGGCGGCTGGTGCCGGCTATTGCGGTGAGAGAGATAGGGAGAGAGAGAGAGAGAGAGAGAGAGAGAGAGAGAGAGAGAGAAAGAGAGACGATATATAGCCTTAAATTTCAGGAAGCCTTCCCCGACTCAAATACCTCCTTCGTCCTCCTCCCCCACGGACTGCCAGATTTTCAGTTCAACGGAGATGCCGGGGCCATTACACTTTCGAGTAAGTAGTAAATATGGTATTTCTACAGTAACCCCCACCTTTCAGCCCGAATCATCACCTACGTCGACGACAACGGGTTCGAACGCCAGATCATGGTGGCTTCAGCGGATGGGCAGGCCGATTTGCAGTTGCTCGCCAAGGATGGAAAGTTATCAGGTTTGTGGCGCTGCGGCGTTGAGAAGGCCAGGTCGAGCAGTTCAGTAGTATTGAGATCTTCCTACTATCTCTCGCTCGCTTTCTCCCTCTAGCATTTTCCCTCTCTGTCTCTCTCACTCTTTCGGAACTTTCCCAAGTTTCTTGCCACGGCGACTTCAAGCAGTTCACTAGCACCTTAAGAAATCCCAAGTTAACGACTAGTTTTCCAAAAATACCAGCTTTCCAGGCGACATGAAGCTGAACAAGCTGAACGTGCACCTACATCGCAGTAACCTGCCCGACCTCGACCCGTCCACCATCGAGGGTCTCGCCCCGCTGGCGAAGAACTTTGTCGTCCCTCAAGTCGGGCAAGGGCTAAAGCGCGGAATACCATTTCCGATCAGGGTAATTTTTAGTGGAATGCGTACTTTATCTCTCCCACTCTCTCTGTCTCTCTCTCTCTCTCTCTCTCTCTCTCTCTCTTTCTCTCACTCAATCGCATCCTTTCAGGACCAACTTGAATTCGTGAACCCGACGCTGCGGGTAGACGATGGGTACGTCGAGCTGGCCGCCGACTTCATCCTCAACGAGGCCGTCCTGAAAAAGAAGATGGCCGCCGCGTTCACTAACATTAAAATTTAATTCAGACCGTCTTAATACGTATTTTTCTTCTTTCCGCCGTTGTGTGTCTCGATATGATTACGGGTATTGTTTTAATCGTTATAATTGATGTAAATAATAAAGATGTGATGTATTATGCCACGAATTTAGTCAATAATGTAAACCTTTTTAATAGGAAAACATTAAAGGAAGCTAGAAATAATCATTGGGCTGTTCTAATAAGTGCGTCTCTTCCTCTTTTTTCTAGGACTCTCATACTCTATCTCCTCTCTACTTCTCCAGCCTATTTCCATTCTCCTGCTCCTCTCTCCCCCGTCTCTCTTTCTCACACATTCCCTGGCTATCTCTATAGCTCTAAAACCTATCTTTCTATACATCTCTGCCTCTCTCTCTCTCTCTCTCTCTCTCTCTCTCTCTGTATGTTTGTCTCTCGCTATATCGCCCTCTGTCACTCTCGCGCTCTCTCACTCTCTATCTCGCGCTCTCTCACTCTCTCGCTCTTTCTCGCTCTCTCTCTCATTCTCTCGCTTTCTCATCTCCCTCACTCCCTTACCTTCTTTCACTCTCTCTCGCTCGCTCTCCCTTTCTCTCTTCTCTCTCCTCTCTCTCTCTCTGCATTTTCTCGCTCGCTAAAAATGCCAAAATTTCGTCCAAAATATTTTAGTCTGCAAAATGGTAGCCTGCAAAATCCTTGATTCCCTGTTCCACCCCAAGCCCCCGATCCCCCCCAGCTAAAACCTGAAATGCGAGAACGGCGATGGCCACGACTCGGTCCCAGGCGACCCCCAGCTACTATTTACTTTATCGATGGACGGGTGTGGGGTGTGATTGGCATTTTCCAGGGGCATTCGGCTTCGACGTCAGCCCAGGTAGAAGAACCAGTTTTGGGTGCCGCAATTGCTACACCCAGTACGGGGCCGTACTACGAACACGGGAGCGTTGTGCGTTGTTGGGATCCCCTTTCCCCCATCACCCTGCGGGGTCTTCTCAGCTGTGATGGAATCGATGGGCTGAATGGACAGAAAAGACAGACATACACACACAGATGTGGGGGGGAGGAAACGAAGGGAGTCGTCTCCTACTTCCACCCAAGCATTAGCCGATGGTTTTCTGCTTTTCTGTTTGTTTTTATGAGCAATCGCGGCCCATATGGTCCATTACTTTCCACGATTACTTGGTATCGGACATGGAAACGGTTATTCTATTTTTTGTTGTTTTTCGAAATCGGCCTTTTTATTGAATACCTTTTTGATCGATTTTTTTAAACGGATTAAGTTGTATAATAGGATTTTAGACGTCAAGAGAATACGTTTTTTTAACGATTATTTACTACAGGATATCGAAACGATTATGCAATCTATATGTCTCACGACTTTTAGAGTTAAAAACCTTTTTTTAAAATACTTTTCCGTAGTTCCGTTGTTCTTTTCGTTAAATTTTATACTCTTTTTCAGGGAAATTCGAACTTTTTACGATAAAATTAAAGCGAACTTTTAACCAAGCCAATCCCCATTAACTTTTTAAGTCAAAACCATCATTTAAATGAGTTTTTCAGTGTTTGTTATTACGTTGAATCGGATATTTACTTTTTAAGGTCAGTTTTCATATCCTTTTGCGGCGTTGAGGCCCAGAGTTGTCGAATAATTGGTATTGCAAACCGCTCGGAATGTTGTATTTGACGAAACTTTCTGAATTTAGCCGACAATAAACCTGTCTCTGCCTGCCTCTCTCTCTCTCTCTAACCCTCTCTCTATCTGTTAATACTTCCCGATGCCCCCTCCACATCCTGAATAAAGGATACCCCGGCTTTGATTGCCAAATAGCTGCCGGGCCGCATGAGGGGTGGATTGGTTTTCGGGCGGCCCGGGCCAGTGAAAAGCAAAATATTACCCAACCATCTGCGATCAGGATAGTGTCCGGTGGAGCGTTGCGGATCATATGCGTCATACGGCGAGTGGGAAGGGTTTTTGTAATCCCTAGGGAGGGGCGGTTGTCAGGCTGGCTCCACGAAATTCGGCCACTCAGGTGCAATCGCTTTCGCTCTCTCTCTCTCTCTCTCTCTCTCTCTCTCTCTCTCTCTCT